CCCGCAGTAAAAAGTATCCTATATGTTGACCCGGATAACCAGCTATCATCATACCAAATTTCATCAAAATCTGTTCAGTGGGTTTCTCGTGATGCGTTCCTAGGCAGACAGACAGACAAACAAAAGTTCTAAAAACTATAGATTCGGCCTGTGTATCGATCATAATGATAATTTTGTAAGTATAGATAAAAATATCGTGTTGGTTACAATAATATTGTTCTGCTTCCAATGGAATGAGCATTCATTCCTTCATCATGACCCCATCCATATTGTTTACCAACGTATATGTATAATCAATAACATCTATTGAGTCGGTAATTTCACTTGAACGATTATACTATTTTGTATTTAATTACTTAATTTATATTATCGCATATCGCTTTAATTTCTATTTTTTTTCTTTATTAAAACTATATTTGTTTTGTAGAAAATTATATACATCTAGGCAACTTTCTATATCACTAACTTTTGACCGCGGCCCCGCTCGCGTAGTATATTTATGAGTAGGTAGTTGTTTTTCTTCTAACGGTTGAAACTTGATAGATAGCCATATATTATAATCTTTCTTAATAAATAGGCTATGAAATGCAAAAATTAAATTTAATATTGAACTGGTACTTCGAGTTGAAATAAATTTAAAAAACACCGAAGCAAACACCCTATTTTATTCAACGAATATCAAAACTACAACATCTGTAACGAAACGAAATATGTACCTACCTACATTTATTCGTCCTAGACCTGACTCGGGATATTTAAAAAAAAAAACAACGAAATTTTTTTTTTTCGTAAAATATATTCTACAAACATGATCACATTTCATCTCGCTATTGTTTTTATTTAAACAAAGCTGGGTCACACAGCTAGTTAGTTGTATTTTTAGATATCACTTTACTCACCTGCAGTCTAGTTTCTTAGCTTCGTACACCTGTGAGCGATCACTTAAATATTTTTATAGGGCCTGTATTTGGATGTTTTATAATAAAAAGCGGTAATTTTTTAACTGTATTTTATTGAACCCCATTTCGTGTACGTGTGTATTTAAATTATGCACGCGTAGTGATGAAAAATAACTGTCCACTGATAAAATTGAATAGATCAAGCGCGTCTCTGACACGCACAAGATGGCATTCCAAAGTTGTTAATTAATAATCTTAATAATTCGAATATTAATCTAGTTTTTAAATGCCTGAGGCCTGAGCTATACAATAGCTTATAAATAATTTTCTATCATATTATATAGAAACTTGCTCCATCCGATCGATTTCTCATCAAAGCCAGATCTTTCGAACTGATTCATCAACCCTCCTTATAGGCTATAGGTGTAGCGTAGTACATAAATAATATTTTTCGATGTCATACTGAAAAGTTTTTGCTTTTAAAATTATAGAAAGGTTGCTAACTTTAAACAAAATTTATCATTAAATAAACGAATTACGATCGCTCCGCTCGGGTAAGACCCTAGTTGCGGTAAGACGTTTAGTATAGATTACTCAGAAATGAGATATTTTCCCTTAATAAAAAGTATCCTATATGTTGACCCGGATAACCAGCTATCATCATACCAAATTTCATCAAAATCTGTCCAATGGTTTTCTCGTGATGCGTTCTCAGTTAGACAGACAGACAGACAAAAATTCTAAAAACTATAGATTCGGCCTCTATATCGATAATAACGACTATTTCAATAAGATTTTCAAAAAAAAAAAAAAATTCAATGTACAGTTTCAACTCCGAATTTTATTATATGTTTAGATATATTGTGTGAATTTAGTTGCTACAAAGGTATTTTGGAACATGTTATCAAATATAACATTGCTTTATTTTTGACATTATACAAGAAAACGGTGCTCTACTCGTACGCCTATAAACATACCAACAAAGATTTTAATTGATCAATTCTCTTTCAAACAAATCCATATTCTATGAAACCTTAATCAATTCTCGTTTTCTAAATATTAATGAGCATTCCAAATCGTCTTATGTAGGTGGATCAATGCCGGTGTGGACTGACCTTTGTATATAAGGCATGGTGTAGGCGTACGTGGTAGGAAATAATTGGGTCAAAACGGTAGCACAACACGTATTGAATAACTTGCGTTTATATTTCTAAATAATTTTAAAAGGACTTAGGTTCTACTTCCGACAGTGGTTTATTCAGGATAATAGAAAAAACTTTTTGTTCAAACAAAAAATTTGGTCTTTAATTAAGGTTCTTAAATAATACTTTGTTATATATTTATGATGTGCGAATATTTGACATTTTAAATAAAACTATCTTTTTGGATTTTTTCGGGGATTTATTTTGATTTTTGATTGCAAACGTTTCGAATGCTTTAAAGCAATCGTGGTCACGGCAGAGACTTAAATAATTTAGTTTATCTTATCGTACAGATCACTAATCAATATATTACATTAGATAAAATGTATCAAGTCAATCTATCCATCCCAGTTAAATTCTACCAATTTCACATCCTGATTCAGTCAATTCCCTTTGGCACAATTAAATATTGCATAAGACGTGATAACAGCCTCGGTGGTGTAGTGGCTAGCATGTACGGCTGCACATCCGGAGGTCCTGGATTCGAGTCCCGGGTGGGGTCAAGTTTAGTTATTGATTCTTTCTGTATAGTAAGTCTCAGTAACAGCCCGGAGTTGGGAAGTTGGCGGTGTTTCACCCCCGTGCCTCGGAGAGCACGTAAAGCCGTCGGTCCTGCGCCTTAACTCTCACCGGTCGTGTCGAGTGGTTGTCCCACCGGAGTATGAGAGTGATAGGAATAGAGAGTGCTCGTTGTGTCTGCGCGTACACTTGTGCACTATAATATCTCCTGCGCAGTTGGCTAATCTCAATGAGATTGGCCGCCGTAGCCGGAATCGGCTAGGAGAACATCATGAGTACGTGATGATGAGAGAAATTTATTGTACCTCCTTTTGAATTGCAAAAGATAGCTGGTTGACATTTCTCTAACAATAAACGAAAAAACAGAAGAGTCATCCATACAATAAAGTGTTTAGATTCTGTAACTTGAACTTATTGGCATACCTATATCTAACTTGTGATTGTAGGGTTACCTCTAAAGTAACAAAATAGCTAAGAGTGAGTCGGTCTTACGCGCGCGGTCACTCAGATCATAATTCAAATTCCAATTTTATTTAACATAACATTTTATTGATTGACTGTCAAAAAACCCACCATTTAAAAAAAAAATACAGCGCTGAGTCTCGTTTTATTGGCAAATATACGATGTTGTGATATAGAATTTTTGACGCGTAAATCCGATTTGGACTAATTTTTAATACTTTATTTCCTCCATTTGTACCTACTCCAACTACGTAATCAAATCTTGAAAATCGATTTTAATCTAATTCAAGTCGTTGTGTCGATTTGAAATTTTGTACATTGAATTATGTGATCAGGTTGACAATACAATAATTTGATACTATTGAGCTAACAGTTTATATGTAGCCAGGATGGATACTGTAACTCTTCAATGGTTACTAAAAACCTATGAGTTGGGATAATTTGATTCATTTAGAGTCTTATGCACTTGTGATTATTTTTTAATTTATTAAATCTATAGGTAGATATAATAAAATTGTAACTAAGCCGAATCTGTACATTAAATATTTTTTGGAAAATTTTATTGAAATAAACGTTATTATCGACACAGAGGCCGAATTTATAGTTTTTAAAATTTTTGTCTGTCTGTCTGCCGCTTACCGCATCATAGACGAACCACTTGAGGGATTTTAATGAAATTTAGTTTGGTGATAGCTGGTTATCCGGGTCAACATATAGGATACTTTTTACTGCGGCAAAATGTCTCATTTCTGAGAAAAAAATACGAAAACTGCAATGTAAGAGTATACTAATATGTAAAACCTTAGAATTTGGTTTTTGGTCATCTGAACGCGGGCGGAGCCGCGGGCAATGCTAGTGTATAATATTTTCTTAGATATACGCTGTAAAGCATTCAAAAAAAAAACAAAATAAATCTCCCAAAGAATCCGAAAAACAATTGTATTAAAAAAATATATTTGTAGGTACGTTGTTACATTTCTACTGAGCCCTTAAAATAGTTAACTGTTGCAGTGCATCGACTGCTCCCAAATTAAAGCATTTATCATCACTTTCACTAACATGCCAAGCTTCAATAGACTGTGGGTATATACGACGTCCGATACTACGCTTAATAAAATTCGTTCTTTAGAATCAACCGAAACGAAATGTAATGATGCTGCAATAAAATTTGTCAGATGGGAGATGAGATGATTTTTTTTTGTCTCAACTGCTCCAGTTTTCATTTACTCAATACTTTAAAAGATTAATTTAGTTAAAACATACAGAACACTATTTCCAGTTTAGAATTTGTTACTCATAACGTAGATCTGCCGGTTGCTAAAATTTCAACTAGAACTATTTTTTTTTTTCATAATTTTCCAACAAGATCAAGGAGGACATATTAAGTGCAATTTCTCAGTTATAATAATTGTTTTCTCTCGATCAAAAAACGTCAGAAATTAGTAACATATACATTGAAGTTTAAAGAAAATATTCCATATTTTTCTTTTATATAAAAAATATAGTGTAATAATAATAATAATAATAATGTATAAATAAACCTTTGTCATATTAATAAAACTAATTTCTCAAATGATCTAACGTGCATTCCAAGCGCATTGATGTAAACGTGTGAGTATAATTAAGAATTACGTATAAGAAGTTACTATTGTAATACATAGCAATCTAGATGAAATAAATACCTATGTTTATTATTATAAGATACTTATATATATTTTTTTCAAAACAACACAAAAATATCGAAAGAAAATTTCCTGACACTATTTTCTATACAAAAATCTGCAAAAAGACACAAAAATATCGTAGGAAAATGTCTTTTACAACCATATATTTCTGCAAGAGCAATGACGGTATATTAATAAAGATTTGCATAATTTCTATAAATATTTAAGTGCTAATAATATATATTTTCTTCCAGAGGCCCTAGACCGAGCGAGATTAGCACGAGAGCGTCGAGAAGCAGAGCAAAGGAAAAGACTGGACGAGTTACGCGCGCACGCTGCCGCTGCGCAGGCGCAACGCGAGAAAAGGGACGAGGAACGCAGGCGCAGGCAGGCTGAGCAACGCGCCAAAGATGATGATAGACGGATACAGGTAAGGCGGTGAATGATGGTTGACAGTTGGTAACATACATAACACTTAATTAGTTTTAGGTGAATATTTCATATTTTAAATTAAACTTTTTTTTTTGGTGTTTTTTTCTTAATTTTTTAAATCTCTTCCGTGAAAATAGTTGTTGTAAATTGAACAGCATTCAAAATGTCAGGAATTAAAAAAAAAACAATATAATGCGAAAACATAGTTTTATTTGAATTAGTATCGTTTCGAGTAATGGTATCTAGGGTGTATAATATCTAACTAAAAACTTAAAGATAGATTAATGTGGGATGGTGTAAGATTTAGGTGGTATAGTATTTTTTCAGGGTAATATATTTTTTTTTTAATTTGAAATCAATATATAATTATGTATTTTCTTTTAAGTATGAATACCTTAGGTTTTTCATGGGCTTAGTTTTTATGATATTTAGACTAAAATATATATATATACATTTTGGTAATGATTACTTGTAGTTAGTATTAATATTATACTTTTTATTATTAGCAGTGAATGCATTAGTCCATTCGCCATTTAGTCAAGTGAATGGTAAATGAGAATGCGAATAAGTTATGAGGTAATAGTATAAGGTATGCAATACATAAATACATGTACCTAGACAACATGCCGTAATGATTTGTTTTTACATAATATATCTATCTATCCCTCTTGTTTATCACATCCATTTTTAAATTTCATTGATTTGGCCAAAAAAATGTTTTGCATGCTCTACGTACGCAAAAACGTGTCTCGCACACTAAGGACTGGGCGTCTGGCGTAGATATATAAAATTGCTATCAACAATTAAATAATTATACCTCTAAAAAAATTTACTTTTAACTTCATTGTCTGCAGGTGGGGACCACATCACCCAGGGTTAGTTGGTTTATATTTTTAGTTTGCATTTGTATTGTTATGTCTCTCATATCGCATCTTCCATCTGTTGTAATATATTTCTTCTTCGCTCGTGACAAAGTAAAAGTAACACTAGATTAAACAAAGCGAAACTTTTCCGTTACTAATAATAAATGTGCAGTGTAATGTTCTCGATATAAACATTTGGCAGACAAAATTGTGATGGTGTACGAAGTTTGACACCTATTAAAGAGTATATTCTTTGTTTTGTAATAATGAGGTTTTATTTAATTTTATATACAGCTTTGTCTGCTATTTGTTGTATTGAACATTGCGATTTCTGTACAGCAAAACTTAACAGTTATGGCTTAATTTTACATATATTTGAAAGTAAATAAAAAAAACTAAATTGGATTTTCGTCATGCTCGAGCACAATGAAATCATTTATTTCTTTTATGAAATATTATTTCATATAAAAACAGCAACTACGCATTTTAAACATCTTGAATAGATATTTTCTTTCTAAATGACGTCGGTATTATAATAAAGTTTCACAGTTCATCGATCAAATATTATAAAGCAAGTGAGCCAAGGTCTTTCCTAGCCTTCCATGAAACACAAATCGCTTTAATCTCGCCGCTTATAGTGTAGAACGTACGGAGTCTAATACTTTCTCCACTCCAGTAAATAATGTCTATGTACGATGGTGAAAATTAGAAAATTGGAAAGCGACATTTTAATGAACAATAGATTATAGATCTACGTCCAAAATACGAGTACCATCATTTCCCTATGAAGTTTGGTTATGGGATGGAAGCCGAAGTATTTATAGCAATCGGGAAGAACATCCGGTGAAACAGATGATTCTTATGTTACTTAAATGATCTACTCTAAAAGGCTTTTAAGAACGAATACTTCAATAAGAAATGCTATGCTATTTAAGCCTTCGGTAAAACTGTCTATTGTTTTCCGATTCAAGACCTCGTGATTCTTTATGTTTGAATGAAATTGAATGATTTTAGCAAAGCTATAGTAAAGCTGATCCTATTTGTGATCCACCTGAATATTGTCTATACATTTTATCCCAATATAGAAATTGCTGTGCGTAAAGCCTCTAAACTGACCCCGTTAATGATAATACAGTTACCCAAGAAGCAAGCAAAGTACATATATGTACATGTACTGAAACCGCTATAAACATTTCATACCAGTGTGCTATTGTACAATTAGGCTCAGAACCAGTAATAACTAGAATGCAATGAGATATGATTGCAATGCAAGATCAGAGGTCAACCACGGTCGTTGAATGGTATTCTCGCTAGATCGCCGATAACCAAGATATTTTCTGACACACCTTTAGAATTAAATCCACTCGTTCTGCTGCCAAGATCTCACTGTACAATGACTTAAGGTAATGAGAATTTATTGTACGCGACTGTGTATATTATACCAGTTAGCCTTACAACTAGCATTTACCCACGGCTCTGCTCGCGTAGTGTATTCATGTATTCCGCTCCATACCTCTCCATCCTCCGTCCAATCTCGTTATAATTAGAATTTCGCAAAAATGTAAAACATTATTTGTATCATTATTTTGAGATATTTCTTGCAGGCCACTACATTACACAAACTAATCATCTGATCAAGTTTCATGATCATTTAGCATTTTTTGAGATTTCCATATTAGTCAGTGAGTCAGTAAGTAGTATTTGCTTTTAAATACATACTATGGAGGTATACATCGTAACTGTAGGTTAATACCTACGGAATATTTAACTGGCTTAATTACAGCCTTCTTTCTATATTTACAGTTTACTTTCACAATGATTATTATAAATTCTATGTTAGTAAAATACTGGTAAAAGTTGAGTTACCAACTAAGGTAGATTAGTTGTGCTCAGTTCCCCAGTATTGATCTTAATATATAAAATTCCCGTGTCACGATGTTGGTCCGCGATGAACTCCGAAACTACTTATCCGATATATACCTGTTTTTTTTTTCAAAATGTGTGATTTGTTCTAACTTAAAAGATACGATAGTTTTGTACCGATTATTTCCTTTTTCTATAGCAAAGTTAACGATTATCATATGTGTGCCACAGTCTGCTAGTTTTATATGAAATTAAGCGTAGGCTTTAAAAAAACAACCGACTTTACCACTATCATTAAAACAATAGTTTTTATAGAAGAAAGGCGTAACAGATTACCTGGTTTTAATTTAAACAGGACAGGTCCTAAACCCAAGAAAGATATTTTCTTTCATTGCAGTACTAACTTTAATGTTAGATTTTATCACATAAAGCGGTCTAAACTATCGCAAAGATATAAAGGGCATGGTCTTTAACTTGTCTGATTGCTTTAGGATTTCCTCCAATTGATAGAAATAGGCTTGGCTCAACGGAAATCGCTTTCAAGGAGTAAAATTTCCTTTACGTTTACGAAGAAATATTTCTTCACACAAGTGTTCCTATAGTTATGTATTTTATCTAAGTATAAATGAATCAAATATATAAATTACTAAACATTTATACATATAATAAAATTGTAACTAATTCGAATCTGTACATTAAATATTTTTTGGAAAATCTTATTGAAATAGACATTATTATCGATACAGAGTCCGAATCTATAGTTTTAAGAATTTTTGTCTGTCTGTCTGTTACCGCATCACAAGAAAATCACTGGACAGATTTTGATAACATTTGGTATGATGATAGCTGGTTATCCGGGTCAACATATAGGGTACTTTTTACCGCGGGAAAATATCTCATTTCTGAGAAATAAATACAAAAACTGCATTGTAAGAGTATACTAATATGATAATACCTAAGAATATGCTTTTTGGTCATCTGAACGCGGGCGGAGCCGCGGGCAATGCTAGTATATAAATATAATTACAGTGTCTTCAAAGAAACTACCCCATGTTGGACTAGTGCAATTGTTTACACGATAAATAAGTTGAAAAACTATTAGAAAATTAAGTTTGTTTTCAAGTAGAACGAACACGAGAGCAGAGCCGTGGTTAAAAGCTATCGAGACATAATTTAATTAGTGTAATGAATAAAACAACATTGTCCAAACATTTGTCTGTTTAATCAGATATGTCTCTTACATTCACAAAGTGTACTCAGTGATGTGAAGCCCGCTATTGGCGCCTGTCTCTTGTTTATTCTCACTTTATGTATATGGCTTTTAAGTTTACTCTACATGCATCACTACATAGTATAAAACAAAGTCGCTTTCTCTGTCCCTATATCCCTATGTATGCTTAAATCTTTAAAACTACGCAACGGATTTTGATGCGGTTTTTTTAATAGATAGAGTGATTCAAGAGGAAGGTTTTAGTATATAATTTGTTAACTTCTTGTATACATTGGCTAAAATATAACGATATTTGTTGGAGGTGTCGGAAAAAATAAGACGTCTGGGAGCTTTCAACGAAAACGTTGCCTAAACCCTTTGAGATATAACAAAATATATACTATATCCATTTTAATTTAAAACGTACCTACGAACGAACCCGAGCGACGCGAGGGTGAATCGCTAGTATTTTTATAATTCAAGCCTCTTTTATTCGTATGTTTAAGTAAAGTTAAATTATATTCATTTATAGTGATCGTTATAATTCCCTTGTACGTGAAGGGACAGATAGCGTTATCGGTTCTGATAAAAGTAATATTGCTGATATGACGATAATACTCTGAAAATGTATCGCATCAATATGTTATTGTCAACCTGTAGACGCTCTGGCCACACTACGTCATGTCATGATCTAATTATGTCTTATGCTTTACTTTAACCAGTTTTCCTTAAAATAACGTCGGCAAGAGCTATTGAACGATGTTTGACCGACTTGAGAAAAAGAAGGAACAAAAATTGCTTGTAGATTGAAATATTTGGCTTAACTTTTAAGGCATTGAGAAATTCTATTCAGACCTCGAATACTTTATCTCGGAAGATTGTGAAGCGGAAAAAATTTAGATTTTCGTTTAATTTTTCAAATAAACCATTTCCAATGGTATCGCGGCGTTGCATATTGCAGTCTGCGGCTCGATTTTATTCACCAATTATCACATTTTACTGGTCAGGCTATGCCAGGCAGGCAATGACTCTAACTACATCTATCCGTTCTCAAACTTTCAT